CTCCCCAAAAAAAAAAAAAAAAAAAAAAAAAAAAAAAAAAAAAAAAATCCAACGATAAAATAACAATACATTTCTGATTTAGATAAAGAGGGTAAACCTGATTCCAGTGTTGTAAAATCACCTACTGAAAATTTCTATTTTGGAGGCAAATATAAAAAACACGAGTAAACAAAAGCTGCAAAAACCCAGCAATCAGTTTTTCCTTAAACATATATTAGTGTTAAAGAGACTTGCCTGGACATTGGAAGTTAAGTTTTATCCATCTTAAAACAGTGCTACACAGACAGCAGAAAACATTGTTTGTAAGTCTTTACTGTTTTATTCTATTGTAGAAGGTGTTTTTTATGAACCTTTATGTATAATCTGGAGCAGGAATAAGCAGGAATTAAAAAGAGTTAAAAGCATTACTAGAAAATACTAACCTCTTCCTCCCAGCTGTGTTCATATGACCAAAATACTCTGTTCTAAAAAACAAGCTAAGTGGTGTGTAAATCCCCACGCAAGGCACTGAAGGTGCAAAAAGTATAACTCAGTTGGGCTCATACAGCTAAACAACAGCTATGTTATAGCAACATTATACATTTCCCCAAAGCATTATGGGATAACATGAAGTCACTCTTCTGCAAGAGAAGGATTAAATAACACTTTCATTAAAATATCTTCTCCTGTATTGGGCAGGTCAAACCAGTTAATAGTGTTAATGATCTAGGTTCAGGAAAAGGAAGCAGTTTGAGAACACCCCACAGAATAGGTGTCCCGCTCACAAAGTCTTCCGTTTTTATTTTTATTTTTAACGTAAGTCTCTTGTTTGCTTTTTAAGGGGAGAGCCCTGCCGCTCGGCTCCCCTTACATCTCAGTGCAGCCTAATCATATGCATAGCCAAAGTCAGTAGTGAGAGCAGAAGGGAGTGGGAGAGCTGGTGAGAGCCACTGTGTCTGTGCGAGCTGGTGTCTGTGTGAGCGGGACTGAACCGTCCATGGCCCCGGGGCTGGGGTTCCACTGTGATGTAGCCATTGATGATACGGATACGGGGAGGAGGGTCGGTGGCACTGCAAGGCAAGCGAAGAAGAACGTCAGTCCAGACTTAGCTCAGAACTGGCTGAAACCCGCACACTGCTGGCTTCTGTGCCCCACTGCCCATCTTCTGGGCACCCAAGATGCTGGGCATGGTCTCTTACACCGGCTCCATGCTCACCAAAGTACTGTGCCTAATGGCAGAGACTTGCCTTTCCTCCTCTTCAAGGGCATGGGCAGCTCTCTCACAGCTGATGTATACAGAAGCCCTAGCCCACCTAAGTGTGAATCAGTCTTGGGGGAGAACACGGAATAGCCTGAGGAGGGTGGGGACTGCCCTGAAACACTAGTAGTGCTCAGACTGATTGATCTCTGCTCTTACACAGGCAGGCAGGTGGGCAAGGTGGCAGCTTTCCTAGCCCTCCAGCTTGCCTTACAGCTAGGTAGAAAATAAGAACAAAACCACCTGTGCTTTAGAGGAGCATCCCTGCAGCAGAATTGCTTAGCTCAGCTCTACAGGAATGAGGCACCTCCTTTCAGCTGAATCCATTCTCCCCTACCAAACTTCTCTATGTGTGCACCTTAGCCTGGACTACACTCACCCCTATGCTGCTTGTTCCCTTCCACAGGTCAGGAATTACAAAGGGTTTAAATGACATCCCCTAAGAAGAGAAAGAGACCCTGCCAGAAACACTTCCTAAAAACAGAAATGCTACAGGGAAAAGATCACAGTGTCTCAAAGTATCTCTGGTGGTACTGAGGACCCTGGGCTGGTGATGAGCATGAGCTGGGTGAGAGCTTACAAAACACTATGCTCCCATTATGGCAGCACGTGGTGAAGGAGAGGACTTTTACCCTGCATGCTGCTGACACGAACTGCCCAGAGCTGAGTGAGCTCCCGCAGTCTTGCAGCGCAGGTTGAGGCTCAGAAGAGGTATGTGAGTCTCTTTTTGAACAATGATTAAAGCCATGAGTGATGCCAAAGCTACAAGGCTGATGTGCCCTCCAGGGCATCACGGTGCTGTGTGAAAATGGAATACAAATTGTGACAAAGTCAGAAGCAAACTTACCTGCCAAACACAACAGCAGGGTTATATTTCCTGCATATTTCCTAACTGTTGTGCTTTGTTTTTGACTTATTTTGGCTAACCACATAAAGCAAGAATGCTTTGGGAAATGAAAGGCAATCAGCATTTTTTTTTAAAAATTGTACCCTTCTGTGTGCAAAGGTCCCATAGGAGGTCTGAGCAGAGAAGCCAGCAGGTGGCACAGCAAAGAAATACAGCTGTTAGCTGATATGCACATAGAGGAGCATGAACCAAAGCAATTCAGCCAAACCCACTACAAAGTTGCATTAGGTCACTCAATCTGCATCTTTCACATTTCCAGGCGTGAAGTTATACGTGGTTCAGGCCCATGCATCAGGGATCTGGGAGCATTCCCGTGACAAGGCACCCAGGGAGCTCGTGCATCCAGGAGCCGGGTGTCCGCAGTGCCACCAGGTGGGGCTGTCCGCTCGGCACAGGACCGTGTGGGCAGCCAGATGCAGTAAGAGCCTAGCGCCTGAGCAGGCTTACAGCTCAAAGGATGGCTTAATTGGTAGAGGACAGAAAAGATTACAAACAAAAAGGAAAGGAGGCATTTTCTGCTCTCATACTTATCTCACAGTTTTCTAAGCTGTCATAATTAGTTCTGCTTCTACTTCGCTACTGTTTTGCACTTATAATCCAGTATGCTCCCCTAAAACATCTCCAATTCAGTAACAATAACACATGCTCCAATATTCTATGTCCTGAAGGCATGGAGGCTTACTTCAGGGCACCCACTGATGCTCCTGAACTTCACAAGAATAACTGCATATGAAAAACAGAAGATGATGGCGTGCAGTTAGGGTGGGAGCTTAGGCTGATAAGGACTCCAAATCATTAGTTGATGTTTCAGCTAAACAGATTGTCAAGAGAAGCAAATAGCTGGTATCAACTACATTAACAGAAGTAAATGTAGTCTGCGGGCTTTCTCCCATCCCTGGAGACATTCAAGGTCAGGCTGGATAGGGCTCTGAGCACCTGATCTAGTTGTGGTGTCCCTGTTCATAGCAGGGGAGTTGGACCAGATGGCCTTTAAGAGACCCTTCCAACTCTAACCATTCTGTGATTAAATGTTACAGTAAAACACAATATCAGATGTGATCAATATAACAATTTGTTGAATTGGCATGTCTTGGACTGTGTATATGTCTGTCAGTGGGCACGCAAACCTCCATGCACATTTGTCTCCCCCCTCTCCCCAAACCATGTGCACTTCGTTTGGAAGGAGGAGTGAAAATTGCCCTAAAAAGAGGGAAAAGAGTTTGATCTAAAAAGTTTGACAAAGGCTGAATGCTTGGAACAGAAAAAGAATCAAAAGCTGCTGCACCTGTTTGCACTGTGTAAGCACTGCATTACTCAAAGCAGTGGTACAGTTGGGACAAAGAGGCATGATACTCAGGACTTTGGGGACCAGGAAGAAACATGCTTTTGAGAGAGAAAAAATGAACATAGAAACTTCAGTTTAAGAGCTACAGCTCTTTTACATCATCTTGACCTTTTTGTTCATTCATAGCACCACAAAAATAACATGTTCTCAACCTGAACATGGCAGAGATATAAGAAGAGCTAGAATCAGTCCTGTGTGTTACTTGACACAAGGTAAACATGAAAGTTCACATTCAGCTGCAGACCTAAGTATCACTTGTGAGGGATGAGGCTTTTTTGCAGGCTGCTATAATTCTTGTAGGGAGAAAGCTCTTCTGTGTGAAAACTGCCAGGAGGATGTAAACCTTTTCCCCACAACGTGCTCCATTTTTCATCTTAACTCAATCACACTTTGGGTTGTCATTCCCATTTCCAGATTTCTGGTAATGCCTCAGGGCTTGCATGTTCTTTAGCACTGGAAGAATACAGATACTAGAAATAATGTATACTGTCCAAATGCAAGGAGCACATATGCTAGACATGAGAGTTCCCACATACGCAGCTGCTCTTGGGTAAAAAATCCAAGAGGCTGTACATTTACCAGTGGATCCAGTCATCTGTGAATAAGATAGGAACTATGTCCTCACAATCCCTTGAGCTCAAATGTAAAATGTTTTTGGCAAGGCTTCCCTGCATGTTATGCCTGATTTTCCACCAACCTAACCCTGCAGGAAGAAGCAATTTCATCCCTAAAAGCACAAGCAGCCTTGAGTAAAGGTCTCTGCAAGAATCATGGTGAGGCGGGTCAGATCCTACACCCTCAGAACATATCTAGCTTCTGCAGAAGCTTGGCCTACTTGATTAATCAGTCCAAGCTAAAATCCAATTTGCATGCCAAGCCCACCTCCCCTCCCAGCCATTAGCTACCTTTCTTCAAAGCGAACCCATAGGTCATTAAACTGCCGCAGTCTTTGCTTCTTCTGCTGCTGCTTCTTCTTTTTGTACTTCCTCTCTACCTTCTCCAGCACATCGATGCCATCAGGTAGCAGCAGGTGAGGCAAGAGTTCTTCCTCCTCCTCTTTCAGGGTATGCAACGGCAGTGGGAGCTCCTGGGACACTACATAAGGGTGATGTGCTGGTGAGGACGATGAGAAGGCTAACAAAGTTTTGGGGAGTTTTCCGCTGGAAGAAGGAGGGAACATGGATAATGTTTAAAAGGCTTTGAGGCAGAATCTTGGTACAGATATCATCAGGACACATGCAAAACAAATGTTTCCTATAGATAGAAAAGTATGGTTATTTTTCTGCCTTGTATTCCTATTTCCTCTTCCAGAAGTAAATATTTTGATCAAAATATTTGTCTTTAATTAAAAAAAAAAACAACCAACTTTGGAAAAGAGGTAATTTGGATCAGAGAAAAAGATGCAGTCTGGCACAGGGTATAAGAGCAGTTGGGAATACCTTTGCATACCTACAAAGAGACGAAAGAGGAATCACTTTCAAAGTCAGAGGAGGTCAAACCATACTCTTCTAATCTGAATTCCAGCAGAACACAGTCCACTTGGTTTCTTCCAGCAGTCCTGTCCTGATGGGGATAAAGGGCAGGGATGGGACAACTAAGGTACACCAAGAGCTAATCCTTGATCAGTGAATTTCACTTGTAGAGAAGGCAAGCCACAAGTTAGTCCACAAACTATGGTCTTGTTTGCAGAAATGCATCTTGAAAATGATTATCTTAGGAGGAAATGGCTCCACATACCATTAAGCAATCTTTTGGACCACTTAGACTGCAAGCAACTGGCAGCATCAAGGCCATTATCACAGGGGAGGTGGTAAGAGGCTGAGTAATTACAGCCAATCAGCCAATTACCCCAAAGCAGATGTGAGCTTTGCATGCACTTATAGCTAACACGAGGAAATAGGAGTCAGGCCTTTAGCTTTCTAGTTGCATTGGTCCCAGATTTAAAAATGTCTGGTTTAGACTGGCAGCATTATCTGTAAGTTCAAACATGCTGCAGTCGGGCTACATGAGCTCTCTCACATGCCAAGACTGAGAAGCCTTTGGGTTGGTCCCTGATAACGTTAAGGCCTTTGACATGGTCCCCATAATATCCTTCTCTGCAAATCAAAAGATATGGATTTGACAGGTGCACTGTTTGATGGATGAGGACTTGGTTACAAGATCATACCCAGAGAGCTGTGGTCAGTGGCTCAATGTCTGAATGAAGAAGTGCTGTTCCTCAGGGATCAGTACTGGGACCAGCATTCTTCAACAGCTTCATCAATGACATCAACAGTGACATAGAGTGCAGGCTCAGCAAGTCTGCAGATGACACCAAGCTGTGGGGTGCAGTTAACACACATGAGGGACAAGATGCCATCCAGAGAGACCCAGAGAGACTCAAGCAATGGGACCAGCAGAACCTCACGAGGTTCAACAAATCCAAGCGCAACTTCTGCACCTGGGTTGTGGCAACTCCCACTATCAGTTCATGCTGTGAGATGTAAGGATGGGGTACAGCCCCACTGAAACGGACCTGAGGGTACAGGTGGAAGCAAGCTGGATATGAGCCAGCAACATGCCCCCACAACCCAGAAGGCCGACTGTATCATGAGCTGTATCAACAGAAGCATGGCCAGCAGGGCAAGAGAGGTGATCCTGCCCTTCTGCTCTGCGCTGGTGAGGCCTCACTTGGAGTATTGCGTCCAGATGAGAGTCCTCAGTACAGAAAAGACATGGAGCTGCTGGAGTGTGTCCTGAGGAAACTGTTTCAAGGGATGGAACACCTCTCCTACGAGGACAGGCTGGGAGAGCTGGGGCTGTTTAGCCTGGAGTTGAGAAGCCTCTGGGGAGACCTGAGAGTGGCCTTCTAGTATATCTAAAGGGAGTCTGTTAAGAGGAAGAAGATAGACGATTCAGCAGGGTCTACTGTAAAAGGACAAGGGGAGATGGCTTCAAACTGAAAGAGGGGAGATTTAGGTTGGATACAAGAAATAAGTTTTTTACAGTGATGGTGGTGAGGCACTGGTACAGATTGCCCAGGGAGGCCAGAAAAATTCAAGGTCAGGATGGATGGGACTCTGAGCACCTGATCCAGCTGTAGATGTCCTTGTACACTGCAGGGGAGTTGGATTAGATGACTTTTAAGAGTTCCTTCCAACTCAAGTGATTCTATAATTCTATAAGCCCAAGAGATCACTGAGTCAAGAGCCCAGAAATGACTGTCAGGGCAATTCTAACTCAGTTTAGTGTTTCAAGGGGATGTTTCAAAGAAACAACCAACTCCACCCTGATTACTCAAGCTCTGTTTCATAATACTTCAAGCAAGCAGCATCTCCCCACCCATATTACATGATATGCAGCCTGCATGCAGTCTCCTATCCAATCTCAGCTTTCCTTGCCCACAGTTCTCTTCCTTGTTTGGAACAGAGATTCTATCTCTTTTCTTGTTCTCAAGTTTCTGCACAAACTTACTCAATTCACTCCATGAACAACAGCACAACACAAATATTTAACTGATCTATAGACTACTTTTATAAAGATAAGAGACACAGAAGTTTGTTGTTGTTGTTATTGTTTTTAACAGGACAAAGTTGAAGACTGGATTGGACTGGAACTCAGAAGGGTAACAAAAGAGCACAGACCATTGCACAGAAACATGACTTCAGTCAGTGAAGCCTTCCCAGCATTATGGAGTGTTTCTTTTCTGTTCTGCAAAGTCATGGAGAGCAAGAGGTCCAGTATACACCTTTTGGCATGGCTGCTGTTTTCAAGCTATCTCATCACTGTGAACACATTTCCTTTATAGACAGTAAAGAAGATCCATCCTGAAAGAGGGTGAGATTGTGGGCTGCAAAATCAAGGAACTAGTAGATGGAAAATGAAGAGAGTGTGATCTTATTTCCTGCAAGGAAAATCACATGTGGAGTGCTTCATGTGACAGACTGGTGCAGAAAGATTTGTGGGCTATTCACTCCACTCAGAATCCTTGTAATTGCTATAGCATTACTTTATCACTCTAAGGCATCACGATACTTCAGTTTTCCTCCACAACATCTCATATCCCCTAACCTTCATCTTCTCTTTACTGATTGACACACATTCTGTTGTCTCTAGGACATGATTTATCTCTTTAAAGACCTTCTGATTATGGTCTCCTGGTTCTCTTTTCTTTGATTTTAATTCACCATGTCTGTCTTTTTATTGGTGAAAATCTCTGAGTGGGCACCACTCCTCTGTAGATAAGACTACTTTATTGCCTGCAGCCTCCTGTACCAAATATGTGGCCAGGAGATGCTAAAATATTGCTATAGCCACAGCCAGGACAACCTCCAAACTGTATGGCCATCTGTTTATTTAGATACCTGCAGCCTCAGAGCACCATGAACAACAGATACTTATGTACATAATCTCTTCTGCAGCACTGCCTATAGGTGATTCTTCCAGAGACCCTTTGAGCAACTGCTAGAACAGGCATGCAAATGCAGAAATGCTCTCATCTTTCCCCATGGATTCTGATATACTCTTGGAATGGGTCTTTCTCCCACTTCAAATGTTCTCCTACAGATCTCACGTTTTTCTTGAAATTCTTTGCTACCACATCATTCAGAAATGTTATCACTTTTTTTTTTTTTCAAAGAAAACATTAAAGTGCTGTTTTCTTCATGTTGCTCACTCAGTCAGCTTTAAAGTCAAGGCTCCAGGAAAGACCTTCTGTTCAGTACTGCCCAGTAAAGTGTCTGAGATGCAACTAGTGACAAACTAAGTACTTATGAAGACACAGAAGGTGATGGTTGGACAGTGAACTCGGTCGATATGGTCAGAAAAATCAGGTGGCTAGCTTTCCTGAGAAACACTGATACCCATCTCCCTGATGTATGAAGATCTAAACTTCCTTCTTACAGTCATCTGCCCTTGATCTCCTTACACATACCTCTTTACAGAGCAGCAGATTCATAAAATCGTATAATCGTGGAATGGTTTGGGTTGGAAGGGACCTTAAGGCCCCACTCAGTTCCAATCCCCTGCTGTGGACAGGGATGACACTCACCAGCTCAAGCCACCCAGTGCCACATCCAACCTGGCCTTGAGCACCTCCAGGAGTGGGGCACCCACAGCTTCCCTGGGAAGCTGTGCCAGGGCCTTACCATTCTCTGGGTAAAGGATTTCCTACAAACATCTAATCTAAATCTCTCCTGTTTTAGTTTAAAACAGGTCCCCTTGTCCTATCATCTATGTGCCCATGGAAAAAGTCAGTCTCCATCTCCTTTATAAACTCTCTTAAATACTGTAAGGCAATGAGTTTCCCAGAGCTTTCTTTTTTTCTTCTTTTCTGGATCAACTTAATGTGCTTGTTCCTTCTTGGGTCTTGACTGTTACTTACACCCTTTCCTTTTGTCAGTCCCAGAGCCTCTTATCTGTTGCACTTCTGGGGCAAAAGGTAGGCTCTTCCTGCTCCTACCAGGAATTAGAAGATTTTGTTTATTCCCAAGTACATATTGAGCTCTCTTTACGTTTTAAGAAGCTGCTATAGCTGTTTTTAGGAATATATAACCTAAGAAAGTTCTTAAAAACAAAAAAGATGACAAAAATTTGTTTTTTTATTACCACCATAAACACTGATACACTAAGTCGCCTAGCATTACTTCAGTATTACATGATCATTAAGTCTTGTGTGGAAGCACAGAGGCTCTCTCTTTGTCAGATTACCTACCCGCTGGTGTCAGCAGCATCAGGGGATGCATGGATGTACTTAAGGGGATGTGTTTGGTGTAGATAATGCTTCAATGCAAATGGGCAATGTCAGTAATCATAGAAAAAATCTGACCTGCCAGAATTTAAATTTCAGTCTGAAAAAGGCAGCAGAAGTGCTGCAAAGAGAAAGATGAAGCAATCACAGCAGGAGAAGAATATTTGTTATTATTTTGCACTGCATCTTACTGGAGTCCCTGGCATAGCACAAGACTCTGCATGTGCCCCTGGACAATCCACATAAAAGAAAAAAGTCCAACGTTAATCCTAAAAGCCCCTTATCAGAAATGTGAGGAAGTAGGAACAGAGATGCAAGCACTGAGGGAGGGAGAACATTCCTGGTGCAGAGGATGAAAGGGAAACAGTAAAATAATTGAGATCAAGCCTTTTTTCCACTGTGGCCTTTTAGCAGTGCCTCTAGGGAAGAATGAAGATATTCTGAGGGATGCAAGGACACTTCTTTGGCAAGAGACTAGAGATGGGGGAGAAGAGCATTGCAGAGTCTAAGCTGGTGGCAGGTAGTTCCGAAAGCATAGGTAATCCTTTGCAGAGTATGGAGATCATTTGGCATTTTATAGTAACTGAGATCATGGAGATAGATAAAGGCACCCACTGATAGGCTGGGGAGAGGCTAAGGGGATAACTCAAAGGACAGCTACAAGACATACCGGTACAGCAAGTATCTTGGCTTATAAATGCAGGAAAGAGCAAAGGATGTGAGAGCTATCACTTTTGGTGGGGACAACTAGCAAGAGACTAAGTGGACCCTAAGGAGCCAGATTCAAGGCTGAGAGTAATATGGAAGAATAAAAAATAGCAGTGTAAGAGAAATAAAGTGTTAGAAGGTAAGGCAGCTGAACACTTAGGAGGAATGAAGGGACACAGAAGCCTGTGTGATATGAGACAGTGTCCAGATCTGCTGAACCAAGAATGCATATTCTATGGAAGTTACTTAAAGAGCTAAAACCTTAGAAAAAAAAAAAAAGTCTGTTTTTTCCAAAAAAACACAGGCCAAACCCAACAAAATCCTGTTTCCTAACTGGCCTTATGGAAAAGTAAGCTGCTTCAGTGAACAGAAGGAGCCCAGCTCACTGTTTAGTATGGTTTCAGCTGCTACTACCTCTTTGTGACTGTTTACAAATCCGCCCTCCCAACAAAAGCTCAGCTACAATAAAGGCATGCATTACTTGTTGATGGCTTGTCCAGCTGGGGTGTGCTCTACATCATACCCTTCTCTCCTCAAAACATCGATCACTGTGTTGTTGCCCATGAAGTGACCTGCAGTTAAGAGAAAAATGAAATCAGAACTTAAGAAACAAAGAGGAAGAGGGAAGGGCAGCAAATAGCTTCCTGATCATAGAAAGTGTGTCACATTCAGACCATGCAGTATTTTATCACTTCACACACCAGAAACACAGGATCTCTAACAAGGGATTGTTGAATCTTCCCAGGCTCATTTAAGCTAGCACATTTCTGTATTTCTGAAATACAGGTGTGATTGAAAAGTTGCCTCTCATTGAGTAGACTAGTACATCCTCATGCTTCTGTAGATTTCTTGGTACACTAAGGGATAAAGCTGTGAGAGAACTGTTCAGGAGCAGCAACTAGAGTATGACAGGCTGTGGCTCAAACCTAGCCTCACATCTGTCCTCAACATTTGCATCATTCTAGCATCTTTACAGCATTAAGAGCACTGGATGATATGTCAGTCAACATCATTAAGAATTGTTAAATGATTAAGAATCACATAACCACAGACAACAAAAACGGCTCTGAAAGCCATTGACACAGGTCAACCCTTTGGGTTCTTTCATTATAAGCACTGGAGAAAAAAAAAAAATCCAATTCAGTTGTGTTAACAGAAGTTTAGGAAGGACTTAGCTAGCTCTGCTCTAATTCTGTGATTTATGGCTCCACTCCATTTTCAGCCAGATGTAGTTGCTGTTCAGCCTGTAATTTGGCACCATAATGAACAAATGATTGCACAAATGTATAGGGATTTTGAAGGACTCTGAATGCTCTGCATACTGACTGACGTTTGCAATCACTCTAGCACCTCATCAGACAAGGCTGCTGAGAAGTAACAGAGACCTTGCACAGGCCCTTGTAAATCTAGCTTTTTGAAAACATTAGTCAATTTAACAGCCTATATTAATTAAAATTAGGCTTGAACAAATGCCTTAATAAAGAACTCTCTTGCTTTTATAGATCTAAGCAGTGCTAACATTGGTACTTCCAGAAAGAAAAAAAACATTTTCTGCTAATATTCCTCATAAATACATAAGAATCACAGAATCACAGAATCACAGAATCACCCGGGTTGGAAGGGACCTCAAGGATCATGTAGTTCCAACTCCCCTGCCTAGCAGGGCCACCAAACACACACATTCAGATCAGGTTGCCCAGGACCCCGTCCAACCTGGCCTTAAACACATCCAAGGACGGGGCATCCACAACCTCCCTGGGCAGCCCGTTCCAGGGCCTAACCACTCTCCTTGTATAGAACTTCCCCCTAACATCCAACCTAAATCTTCCCTCCTTCAACTTGGATCCATTTCCCCTAGTCCTGCTGTTGTCAGCCCTTTTGAAGAGTTTACTCCCCTCGTGGGTGTAGGTTCCCTTCAGGTATTGATAGGCTGCAATGAGGTCACCCCGCAGCCTTCTCTTCTCCAGGCTGAACAAGCCCAACTCCCTCAGCCTGTCCTCATAGGGGAGGTGCTCCAGCCCCCTGATCATCTTAGTCGCCCTCCTCTGGACCCTTTCCAAAATCTCAATGTCTTTCTTGTACTGAGGGCTCCACACCTGGACACAGTACTCCAGATGGGGCCTCACAAGAGCCGAGTAGAGAGGGACGATCACCTCCCTGTCCCTGCTGACCACCCCTCTCCTGATGGAGCCCAGGATCCCATTTGCCTTTCGAGCTGCCAGAGCGCACTGCTGGCTCATGTTCAGTCTCTCGTCCATCAGGACCCCCAGGTCCTTCTCTGCCGAGCTGCTCTCAAGGACCACTCCTCCCAGCCTGTACGGGTGCCTGGGGTTCTTCCGGCCCAAATGCAAAACCTTGCACTTTGCCGTGTTGAACCTCATTAGGTTCACCCGAGCCCAGCCCTCCAGCCTGTCGAGGTCCCTCTGAATGGCCTCCCTTCCTTCCACCGTATCAACCGCACCACTCAGCTTGGTGTCGTCAGCAAACTTGCTGAGGGTGCACTCAATTCCCTCATCGATGTCATTAATAAAGATGTTAAAGAGCACCGGTCCCAAGACAGACCCTTGGGGGACACCACTTGTTACCGGCCTCCACCTGGACGTAGAGCCATTGACCACCACCCTCTGTCTGCGGCCTTTCAACCAGTTTCTTACCCATCGGGTCGTCCACCCATCAAATCCACTTCCCTCCAATTTGGAGATGAGGATGTGGTGGGGGACCATGTCAAAGGCCTTGCTCAGGTCCAGGTAAATGACATCAGTCGCCTTCCCTTCGTCCACCAATGCCGTCACTCCATCATAGAAGGCCACAAGATGAGTTAGGCATGACCTTCCTTTGGTGAAGCCGTGCTGGCTGTCTCGGATCACATGCTCATTCTTTATGTGATCGAGCATGTTGTCCAGGAGGATCCGTTCCATGATCTTCCCAGGCACGGAGGTGAGACTCACCGGCCTGTAGTTCCCTGGGTCCTCCCTGCTCCCCTTCTTGTATATGGGAGTGACGTGACCCTTCCTCCAATCATCCGGGACCTCACCTGACAGCCACGACTTCTCAAATATGATGGAGAGCGGCTCGGCAACCACCTCAGCCAGCTCCTTCAGGACCCTGGGATGCACGCCATCCGGCCCCATAGACTTGAATTCATTCAGTCTAAGGAGGCACTCTCGGACTTGCTCTGCCCTTACAGTGGGGAGGGATTTACCTCCTTGGTCCCCACATAGAGGTTTGGGGATGCAGGGTTCAGGGACGTGAAAAAGACTAGAATCCTGGCCACCAGTGAAGACCGAGGTGAAGAACTCATTCAGCACCTCAGCTTTCTCTTCATCTGTTGAAGCCAGTTCTCCTTTTAAATTTAACAAAGTAGGTACGCCCGTTTTGGCCTGTCTCTTCTGGCCAATGTACCTGTAGAAGGTTTTCTTATTGTTTTTCACGTCCCTTGCCAAGTTCAGTTCTGCCTGCGCCTTGGCTTCCCTGATCCCACGTCTGCAAGTCCGGACGGCATTCCTGTATTCTTCCCAGGTGACACAGCCTTGTTTCCAGAGCTTGTACACCCCTTTCTTCGCCCTCAGTTCTCTCAGCAGGTCCTTGCTGAGCCATGCCGGTTTCCTACCTCGCCTGCCCACTTTCTTATTCAGAGGAATGGAGACCTCTTGTGCTTCCAGGAGGGCATCTTTGAAGAGCCGCCAGCTCTCCTCAACATCCTTGTCTTTGAGGGCAGCGCGCCAGGGGATCTTGGCCAGCAATCCATTGAGTAGTTTGAAGTTTGCTTTTCTAAAGTTTAGTGTCCTGATCCTGCTCTTTGCCAGGCCCACATCGCTTGAGATCACAAACTCAACCAGGGCGTGGTCGCTGGAGCCCAGGCAGCCTCCGACCTTGACGCCTTTGATGATCTCCTCAGCGTTGGTGAGCAGCAGGTCTAGCAACGCTTCACCTCTGGTCGGTCTGTCCAATACCTGAACCAGAAAGCTGTCGTCAATGGATTCCAAGAGCCTTCTGGAGCTCTTGCAGCTCGCCGTGTGGTTTTTCCAGCAGATGTCCGGATGGTTGAAGTCCCCCACCAGGACAAGAGCCCGTGAGCCAGACATCTCACACAGACATCTTCAAGAATTAAACAACCAGAATGCTTCCAACAGACAGGACATGCATGGAGATAGGAAGCAAAGTACAGTGGTGACACTTACACCAAGGAATTTGATTTTTTAGAGCAAAACAAGTTGGATGAACACAAGCACCAGTTTCTCATACACAACAGCAAAAAGTGTTGTGAAATGTGAAATATCAGCTTACAGCATGATACTTGGATGGTATCACTTGAGCACAAGTATTTATTAAAAAAAAGCTTTTCCAAGGGCCTAAGTAATCAAAGTAATCTAGCTCAAACTAAACTTTTTAATGTAGCAATGCAATATCCACATAACTCACACCACATTTTCTCACCCAATAACTACATTTTCTTCAAACTCCTCAGTCTTAACTTCTCTTTTCATAAGAAGCAAAGCTTGACTTTGATGTGGACCTAATTTAACACTGCTGATGCCTGTTGCATGCTAATGTTTCAGCCTCAGGTCCTGTTAATATGTGGAAAGTGAGAGTTTTGTCATGTCAGTGAAGAGACCTGCTGTGGGGAACATTAGTGATTGGAATTAAACTTTGTAAAAAAGTAAAAGTAGCCACTGGAAGTTCAACATTAGGTTCATAAGGCACTGAACTTAGTTGTCATCTCTCACCTTTAACACAGAGGAGAAATACATGCAACAGAAAGGGGAGAGGTAATTCATTCACCATTCTCCACACTTCCATGGCTCCAGACTTCAGAGAAACTGGCACTTTCAAAGCATGATTAATCCTCTTGTAAGAGGGATAGCTTACACACTGAGAAGTGCCTCTCTACTGGTGAGGACTGAAGTAATGCAAAGAGTAAGCTCAGACTAGAAACCCATCTCAGTCAGGCAGCATTGAACAACCTGATTCCCTTCTGCAGTGGTGAAAGGAAGTGCCAAGGTTCTGAATTCTTATTTTCCTAATACAAGCCCTTCAGGAGAAAGGAGACAAGACACAAAGCAATCTACATGGCAATCTCTAGTGATAAATAACTATCCTTGAGCCAGTTTAAACAGTTAGGGTCCCACACATTTCAACAGAAAGTAACAGAACATCTGTTCACATCACACCATCACATTCACTGCCTCCCCTCAATCTTCAGTTCCTTTTGCTCACAGTAGCGATTCAGACTGATGTTTAGGAAATGGCTACAGCATATGGAAGAATCCAATTTGATCCATGCTCTCCTGAAGCAGAGTCTTCATCTTTTAAATTTGACGCAGTCATAAAAAAATCTTTTACATCAGTGCAAGCTTTCACAGAGAGCCTTTGCAGTGCAGTAAGTTATGTGTACATAATAAGGAATAAGGCAGTGCTAGAATTGTCTAAAACACAACAGAACAAACGAACAAATCGTGTAAAACACACATGCATATAAATACATACAGGTACGAGATACAAAATTGCTCAGAAGACATGACCAATTGGGAAAAGCTCAGGTTGGGCACATTAAAGGATTATGAGATGTCAG